TCATCACCAAGTGAAATGGACAACATATATCCAAGAAAAATAAAACAGTAGAACTCTTTTGACCTCAATGACTTGGATGACTTTACCAGGAGGAAGGTTCACTCAACAATTAGTTTATCTATTTATGACCCAACTCACATTTCATAATCGATTTGTACAGTGGAAAAAAATTGCAAGGGCTTGTACTATTTAATATTTCAGTCATGATGAAAATGATGATTTTTCTGCTTCTTTTTTGGCATATTGACCTACCTTTGATATATTTTTTTTTTTCTCTCTCTCTCTCTCTCTCTAGTAATAAATATCTTCTTACCTCTGTTCTCTAACTGTGAATTTGCTAAGGTGAAATATAACTTCGATAACTAATTTATAATAGTACATCCTATGGAAATGATTGTTAGTTTACTTAATGGTCATGAATCATGATTCAAGAATTTAATAATGCAGGATACAAATTCAATTTTTTTTTTTTACCAAGATCATATACTCTTTAGCCGAATCCGAATTCTATTGTTAGGAAATGCCCAATACAATCATGCTTCTTATGTTTCTAATGTTTGTGAATTCAAACTTTTCTCTATTACTAAGACACATATTGTTGTCTTCCTATTTTCCTATGAGGTAAGACAGTTTGGACTATATTTTTTTCACTCTGTGCTTACTTTAGGATAAAAATCTTTGGCAGTTTCCAAAGATTGTGGACACCACTTGTTTGAAGTTTGAAGATGTTCTCTTTTAATGCTATGCATCATGTAGCCAATACGGGTTAGGCTTGGCTAATTGAGTAATTGATACTCAATTAGCCATGTTGATAGTTTCTAGGCTTCCTTGTAAAAGAAAATTTTGTTGTAATTTATTTTTATTTTTTAATTTTTTTTAATTTTTTATTTTTTTTATGAAGTATTGCAGAATTTATTTTCAATCAAGATGGGCATTGTTTGGATTGAAACTTATATATTTTGGAATAATTTGGTCAATCTGAATATGACCATGGCATTAACGATTTATTATATAGAGGTTTCATAAGAATTTATCTTGTAGTTGTGACTTGTTACTGTAAATCGAATTGAATAATTCAGCTATTGACCAACAAACTTTACCAGAACGGTGATTGCAAATGAAGGATGGCCAAGCTCTCGTTTCTAGGTTTAGGTATTAACTACTTCAAATAGAGTGTGTATTTGTGTGTTGGGTGTTCTTCTATCATGCAGTCTAACGACTTTATTCCACCCTAGATGGTGAGAGTCGAGAAATAAAAAGCATCACTACCTTAAGCTTTGACTCAATTAGTTGGGGCATGTGGAATTCCGTGTGGATTGGCTAGAACCACATTGCAAGCTTTTTGGTCTAAAGTCTTTCTTTAGCCTGGCTGTACTTTTGGATATAATATTTAATAAAAATACAAGTATTTGAATGTGCAGGATGTGTGCATGTACTGTACCCAATTTTCAGACATTTATCCTAGTATATTGAAATATCGGGTTTAGAATGAGCAAGAAATATGGAGCTTAGGGAGCTTTGAATGCGTAAACACACACTTGCACTATATACACATACCCAAGTCCATGTTTTGTAGAAAAAAAAAAGAAAAATGATAGGCACTTGTATGCAAATTATACTATTTGTGCGCATATATAAGCTTATAGAAGTATAATATTCCATGAAAATGTGCGAATTGACATAAATTTGTTCAAGTAGAATTCAGAGGATTAATTCGAGAAATGCAATTTAATCTCATGTGTTGGTCATTCGGTGTTGTGCTACCTAAAAATGCACCCTTTCATGGATTGGGGCTGAGCTGCCAGTTTTTCACATTTATTCAATACTTGGTAATAAATTGCAGCTGATCAGAAGAAGACAGACCACTTACTTGCACTTGATGGAGCCAAGGAGAGACTTCGCTTGTTTAAAGCAAATCTATTGGAAGAAGGTTCCTTCGATTCTGTGGTTGATGGGTGTGAAGGTGTTTTTCATACAGCATCTCCATTTTTTATTACACCCTCGGATCCACAGGTCCATCTCATATTGTGTTTGTTTATATTCTTCTTCTTATTCTTCTTCTTCTTTTGTATTGTTTTTAAACTGCCATATATCAACACAATGGGTGATAGATTGCCGAAGTTTTCAAGAGTACTTGTCAGTGGATCTAGCCAAATGTTGGGTTCTTGAACATTGTTGGTTATGTAATGAGTTGTGCTTTCCACTGGGTCCTTTTGTATAATGATAGGGAGAGGTAAACTATGTGCCGCGCAGTGTACTTCTCAGTTACTATTGTATATGGTACCAATCCTCCCATCCACCCCCTCCACAACTGCATCCTCTCCTTGTCGCAACAACCCTCCCATCCATCACTGTCGCCTCCCCAGCCCCTCCTTCAAACCTTAGAAGAAAAGAAGGCTGGGGAGGGGGCGAGATGGGAGGGAAGAAAAAGATGACAGAAGGAGGAGAGCTGGGGCGGTGAAGGTGCCAGCGGAGGTAGCGAGGAGTAGTCGGTGGCAGTAGATGGAGGGTTGGGGAGGAGCGATGACGCTGGGAACAAGATGGGGAGGGCCAATGAAGCTGGAGGGGAATTAGAGAGGGCCAACAAGGCTAGGGGGTGGCAGAGAAGGGAGAAGGTTGCAGCGGTAGCGGTGGCTGGTGGAGGCTGGTGGTGTGTACTGAGAGATGGTAATGTAGGTGGTGTGTATCAAGAGATAGGTTTTTGTCCAAAAGAGTAATTTGCTTGGCGGACAAAAGTGCAATTAAAAAAAAATTGGAAGATGGTGTGTATGAGAATGTGTGGCAGGTAAATAGAAGCTCCCTGTATCTTGAGGTTGTATTTATGTTTCATTCATTTCAAGATCCTTGCTTATTTAGTGAAGATAAAAATAAAACATAAAATATTTCTATATATTGTAATTTGCAAATGTAAATTTAGTAAAAGCGTTGTAATAGCCTACCAGTCACTTGACGTTTAGATTTGAAATTAAAAATGACAGTTAAATTAAATGGAAGTAATTGATACCTACGTCAAATATTATGTTAAAATTCCTTTCTGACATATTGACCCATAGAATTTGCTTGTCTGTTGTGTAGGTTCACAAACATTTCCAAATGCTTCATTTGGATGGATTAATGTTAAAGATGTTGCAAATGCGCACATTCAAGCATATGAGATTCCTTCAGCCAATGGAAGATATTGTTTGGTTGAGAGAGTCGCACACTACTCTGAAGTTGTGAATATACTACACAAGCTTTATCCTTCTTTTCAACTTCCAGAAAAGTAAGTGTTTTGTGATTTGTTGTCGACTATAACTGTGTTTTTGCAAAGTAGTAATTGCCTTTGGAATTGAAGCTCTATTTCACAAAAAAAAAACATTGTTGAATCTTTTTCTCAAAATGTATCCATGTTCTTCATATTGTTTACCAATGAATTTCAAACTATTTATCTTAGCTTGATTAAGTGTCATAAGATATAGCTAGAGGTGACAAACTTAATCCGAACCCTTGAACCCACCCAATTATATCCATGTAAAACCCATTTATACCTGTACAAAATTTTAAATGGGTTGCTCCTTGCAAACCTAATTAAAATTGGGTTTACATGGGTTGGACATGAGCATAGTAGCAGGAATCACACAAACAAGTTACGTTTCTTTCTAAGAAACGCGATTATGCACTTCTTAGAGAGAAATGTGTAAGAATCGCGTTTCTATTGAGAGAGAAGCGAGGAAAAGAAAAACGTGATCTGGTCTCAATTAGGGCTACGAAAGTGGAGCTTCTTCAATGTATTTGCTTTGTAGGCTCTTTGATCTTCATCTTCTTCGATTGTTGAAAGCAAAACCTCTCCCTCTCCCTCTCCCTCTCTCAATCGCTGCTAGACCTCCCTCACTGTCTCTCTCGACTTCTCTCTCTCTCTCTCTCTCTCATAGCTTTTTCTTTGTTCCTAATAAGAGATTGAAAAGTCTAACTCTTAGGTGCTGTTTGATAAAACTGAAAACTAAAAACCGAAAATTAAGTACGAAAAACAGAATGTTGAATTTTTTTAATCTAAAAAGCTGTTTGATATGTACTGAAATTTAAGTACTGATTCAATTAAGGTGTTTGATCTATACAAGCAGCTGAACCCTGAAAAATAATTAAAATTAAAAATTTGTCTTTTTAGTTTTTACATTAAAATATTTAATTAAATTCTTTTAACACACTAATATAATTGGTAAAGAAATTATTGTAATCACAATTATAACATAAACAAGTTAATGCATATAAACTAAAAAACAAAAAAAACTCATAGTGGGTGTTTGGGAATTGAGTTTTTATGTAGATTTTTTTAGTTGTAGGATATTATTAGACAAAAAAAATTTGGTGTTTGAGAAGATAGTTGGGTTTTTTTGTGGTTGGATGTGATGTTTGTGAGAGAAAAAGTGAAATGATTATGGGGTTGGACGTGATATTTTGTTTGGATGTGTTTTTTTTTGTTTTGCAAAAAGTTTGTCTTTTTGTGAAAAAAATCAAAAAAAATCCAAGTCTCAAACTTCCCAAACACCACTATAAACAATGTATTCACATATATACATGCAAGTTAAATCCAAATAAAAAAGTAATTTTCTAGACTTACCTGCTTGCCTCAATAGATAAAATTGAATTCCTTGGAAGAGCAGCCAAAATCGTGAGGGAGAGCAGCCAAAGCAGCCAAAACCATGAGGAAGAATGCTTTGAGAATAGGCTTTTCTAAACTGCTATATCACTTGGCTCTGCTTTTTTTTTTTCCCCCTCCACTAGCGCGTTAAGTTATAGTGAAAAGTAGGTTTTTTTTTTTTTTTTTTTATCTGAAAATTTTAGCTCCTATTTTAAGTGGGACTTAATTTTTTTTAAAAGTGATACCATGATATGTACAATCAAATCCAGCTGTAATTAGAAATCACTTAAATATTTTTCAATTTTAATGAAGCTGATTGGGCTATCAAACACCCCTATTATAATTAATTCTTTTCATTTAAGTTGTACCTTAATATCATATTTATACCAGAATGACTTTTCCATTTAATCTTTCTCTTTTTACGATTAATGAAATCTGCCTTGCCTGTGCATTGCACAAATACATATAAATTCCACCTACTAATTTATTATCTTGTGTTGGCCAACTCGTAAATATAATACTATACTACATATTATATTATATTTCCAATTACTTTTAAATTCCAATCGAAAATTAATTAAATTTTTTTGTTTAAAATGAATGTTTATTTGCTATTCATTTTTAAAACAAATATTAATTATGTTGTATTTTAAATTAAATTAAATATATATATAAAATAATTATCATTATTT